GTCTGAATTTACGGTGCAAAAATGGGTAGGGTCTGTAGAAAAACTGTCGAAGGCAAGATCTTTATCATTATCTTCGTTGTGGAATGTTTTTGATCACTCGCAAACTCTCGATAAAAAGCAATTTCCGCCATGGTGTTTTTCATCATGATTTGACCTGAACAACTTCCTTTGACCTAACAGGTCATGTCTTTCGTTAACCAATCAAAATGCTGTCTTACAGACGTTTTTCCGATCATTGACGAAGTAATTTTTTTAACGTAATGCGGAAGTGAATTATTGCAATGTTAAAATGCGATCTGATTTCGACAAAAAAACGGTGATTTTCGAAAAGTAAACTGAGGGAGGGAGGAAGTATTTAAACGTTTCACGGTCGCCAACAAGTCATGTCGAAGAATAGTTTGCTCGTTCACATCCCATTCACAAAGGTCTCAATGGACACGATTATTCGGAAAAGTAAAACGATGTTCAATGACCATTTTTGGCTTTTCTAAAACCACTACTCAAAAGGAATATGGATTAATTACTTCAGTATTGCAACATTGGGATTCATCATGAGTAAATAACAATAGAAAAGGTGTGAACCATGTTCCGTACGTTCGCCAGCCATGCACAATTAATGCGAGTTTTCTCGGAGGAACCAAACTACCGAACCAATCACGATTATTATGCAATGAAATACACTTTTAAGTGCATATTTTAATAAATGTCATCGACGCCCGGTAAAAAAACCCTGGGCCTATACTCGGGGATGCCCTCAACTTGTTAAATGTCTAAAAACAGAGGGTGGGCTTATATTCGGGGAGGGGCTTATACTCGGGGAAGTACGGTAATAGTGTGAAATGCGAATAAGATAAACTTCCAACTGTGCTACTACTGCAAATAGTTTGCTTTATCATGTGAAAAAACAAACTGAGGATAGGATTTTAAAGATTTTGAGCAATTCATATGAGCTCTTCAACACAATAACACTCCCGGGTCCTCTTGTTCTTAAAAAATAAATGCTAAATGACTAAAACACAACAATTACAGCACAACTAAAAACAAACTGACTGCTCTGCCAGAAGCACATGCGCTTTAGTAAGTAAATGACAAAAGGGAGCAAATGCAAACACAAACACATTTTTGGCTTACTTACACTTCTAATCAGAGTAAATACAGTGAATGGAAATCAAACTATTT